AGAGGTCTTTGGGCAGCCGGCGCGCCGGTTCTGAAACGGTGTCACGCTTTCGCGCGAGCTGGTGTGCCCTTGATTCCTGTCAAGTTGTCTTGGCATTGAGTGGCTCAGCCGAGTTTTCTGAGCCCCAGTGCGAGAGGCATTTTGTTTTTCCCTTCTCTCTCATTCTCTCTTTCTCTCACTCTCTCTCTCTCACATTCTCTCTGTCCCTCTTTCTCTCTATCGCTTTCATTCGGACTCCAGTTTCCAGATGGAACGTCTTGATATAGATGGGTCGAATTTTGTTCGCGGACTCCTTTGCGGAGAAGCAGAGTTTCCAGGTAACAGCGAGCATTTGAGAGAAGCGGCAGGATGAGGGTGAGGTACGAGGCGCGAGCTTCTCGGGACTGGGGTGGCCGGGGCAGCCGAAGTGCTCCCGCCGCTGCTGGAGGCGTGCCAAACGAGCGCGCTGGGGAGGACGAGGAGAAGGAGGGATGATGAGGAGGGGGAGGAGGAGGAGGAGGAGGAGGAGGAGGAGGAGGAGGAGGAGGTTCTTACGCCACGGGCACAGCGCCCAGCGGCCTGCGCAAGAAAGGAGGAGGAAGAGGAGGAGGAGAAGGAGGAGAAGGAGGGAGGAGGAGGAGGAGGAGGAGGAGCAGCAGCGTGATGATGAGGAGAAGAAGGAGAAGTGAGGAAGAGCAGGAGGAGCAGGATGGGCAGGGAGGAAACCCATGATGAGTGAACGATGCTGCAGCACCCTTTCGCCCCAAGTCCTGTCCACATTGCCCGCTAACAACAAGTGCTTGCACAACGGAAAGCGCCCGCTTGAAATACGAACGCTCCATGTGCCCGCCATTCTGGCGATAGACCCGCTTTGACAAAGAACGGCCTTGCATCCTGCGAGCTGAAAGAGCGCGACCAGCGAGAGCCCAGCTTTGAAACGGAGAATTAATGTTAAACTCGTGGCCATGATCTGTGAGGAAGTATCGAGCGACCCGCCGTTTGAGAAAGGTCGCCTTCCATCACTGCAGCTGTTGAACAGTTTTGCCCGTCTTGACCTGGATTGTAAGGACGTCTCAGGCGAGAGCATCGCATTGAATAATTGGCGCCCGTCCACCCGTGCAGCAGTGCAGCACACCCCGCCGCCGTGTCTGTGAAACAGCGTTGCAGGAATACATTTGAATGTTTAAGTCTGCGCGCATGTCCACCAGCCCATCCAGGAGCCATGTCCAGGAGAGCTGCCCTTCTCGGGGGAGCGTGAAATAGTTTGGAGAGCTCGGGGAGCCTCCGCGGGCCAGAGGCTTCTAGGATGCCTCGCGAATTCTCTCTTGGGATGTCTCGCGGGGTCTCTTAGAGGCCTCTTGGGGCGTCTTGGGGGCATCCTGGCGGCTCTTGGGGACCTCCAGGAGCGCCTTGGGGGCGTCGTGGAGGCCTCTTGGGACGTCTTGGGTACCAGCGGTCTTCAGAGCATATTGGGGCGTCTTGGGTGTCTCTTGGGGTCTCTTTGGGCCTCTTGGGGGCCGCTCGAGGACGTCTTAGGGGCTTCTTTGGTTGCCTCTCGGGCTGTCTTTGGCCGCCTTGTGACCCTCTTGAGTGGTCTTGGGCCATATTGGGCCGCCTTGACGTCATCGTTGTTATCTTGCAAGCCGTCTTGGAGGCCATCCAGGCGTCTGGAGGCCGATTCGAACGCCGGAGCGCAACTTCAGGGGTGGGGCGATGTTCCAGCGATGCGCGCGACGAGGAGGCGTCGTCCCTAGAAAGCACGGAACAGTTTACCAGACAATAGAAGAGCATTCTAACACGCCCGCTCCGTACAGGCACGGTGGCGGATCGATCGCTATAGTCGTATCGATGTATACGTATATGTGTATATACATAAACACATATGTGGGTATGTCTGTTCTTATACATGTATGTAGAATGCAGCTTGTGTGTTTATCTGTTAAATTAAAGCATTCCCCAGACATATCGGGTGAGAATCCTGTTTTGAAAAGGAGTTGCCTTCACCAGAGTAGCTGTTGAACACTCTTTCCCCTCAGTGGCGAATTTGTAAGGGGTCCAGAATGCGGAAACTGTGCCCAACCATGCCGTGTAGTGCTTGCGCGCCGTGCCGTTCGCGTACCGTGGCGTGCTTGAAGCCCGGACTGCGCGCGGGCGTGCCGTGCCGTGCGCGCGCCGTGCCAGGCGCGTGCCGTGGCGTGCCGTGCCCGCGTGCCGTGCCGTGCCGCGCCCGCGTGCCGTGCCGTGCCGCGCCGCGCCCGCGCCGTGCCGGAGTCGTGGACTGCGGGGGCGGCGCCGTGCCGTGCCGTGCCCGCGTGCGCGTGCCGTGCGCGCGCCGCGGCGTGCCGGCGCCTCGGGCTGCGGAGGAGGGGCTCTGCCGCGCCGTGGCCGCGCCGTGCTCGGAGCCCGGGGCTTGCGACAGCCCGGGCCGGGCCGGGCCGTGTGCGCGTGCAGCGTCGTGCCAGGCGCGGCGTGCCGTGCGTGCGCGCCGTGGCGCGCTTGCTTGTGAGGCGAGCCTGGCCCTCTACAGGGGGAGTATGCACAGAGAGTCAAGAAATAGTGCTGGGGACGATCTGTCGATTATTTTCGATATGTTCTGAACATGTCTCTGACTATGCACGATTTTTCGTTTAGAATCCGCCCGTAGGAGGACATGCCCGACCTAAGCTTACTTCTCAGACACCATGTATCTTCCCATGCACGCCCCGGCCCGCTCGACGCGGAACTCTTCCACGTCTGAGCGCTTCCCCCCCGCGCGGCCGCTCTCGTCTTTCTCTCTCCACCCCCTCTTGCACGCCCCGGCCAATTCGCCTTCCGGGTTCCCCGAAGAGCCACGCGCTGGAGCGGACTGCCTCTGCTTGGCCGCCGGCGAACTCCCATGCAGCGGTGACGTGTAGGGCGTCGATGCCGACTTCATTGACACGCAGGCGCGGGGCGCTAAGGCAGCAGACTCTTCTGAAAAAGGGCAGCTCTCCACCCCTGTAAGTGTGGGAAGCTTCTCAGAGAGGTGCGCGGCGCGAGGGCGAGAGCCACATTTTTGAACACGGGAAGCACCTTTGGTCGTTGTAGCTGGTGGGAGCTTTTAAGAGGAAGGTGTGCTGCGCGAAGACGACATTTTAAGAACTACACGTCCAGATTCCTGGTATCTACCGCGGTTTATCAAGGTTCATGACTAAAAAAGGCGTCTGAGGCCGGCCCGCCCTAGCAGACTGTCCAGTGGAGCGACGAGGCAAAATTACTTGCAGGGAACAGGGGTGAAGAAGAAGGGGGGAAGTGGAGAAGGGGCAAGAGGAGGGATGGTGGTGATGATGATGATGATGATGATGATGATGATGATGATGATGATGATGATGATGATGCTGATGATGATGATGATGATGATGATGATGCTGATGAGTAGGAAGGGGAGGAAGAGGAGGCAGAGGAAGAGGTTGACTAGAGTGAATGCTGGGTACGCTAACGATGCGGCAACATCTCCTCTCGTCTCAGGTCTCCTTTTCAGAAGTCCCCACATCTGCTTTTTCTGGTTACTGTGGGAAGCGAAGCGCCCCTTTACAGTCAACCCGCAGACTAAGGATGAGCGAATTTCCAAGGTTATCCTTGCATCCTTGCCCCTTTCGGCCCATCCTTAGCGACTTTCGCTGGCCAACCTCGTTCGAAAAACCGTAACATGGCCCTCCAAGGCCCTTGCATCCTTACCGCGCATCCTTGCTATACTGGTTGACTTGCATAAAAAGGCAAGCGACCCAGGACCTGCCGTTCGGGCGAGAAACCCGTTTCGAGCAGGATCAGCCTTCCAATCTTCGAGTCACGAGATAAGCGCACAGGTCAGTCAATTCAAATTGATGTCCAGTGATGACCCCTTTTTGTGCAAGAGCCTCCTCCATCCATGTGGCCTTCGCACAGGCTTGAGCTTCTCGTCGTGTATGTGAGCCGCGTCGCTGTCGCACATGTGCCAGCTTATGACAATGATGTTTGAGGAAATCTCAATCGAGAGCACCATTGAAGCGGAGCTCTTCTCTGTCTGTGTAGCTGTCAGCTTTTACTGACTACTGCGCACGGCGCCAATGCGAGAGCCAACTTGTTTCACTACCTGCCTTCCATGCGTCTACCCTCAAATGTTCGCGCGGCGCTTTGGCGGTAGACACATTTTGAGAACGGGCGCCCTTCATCCGTGTATGCGTTGGAAGCTTTATTGGCAGTCGGCGCCGCGTGGAGGCGAGAGCTACCCATTTGAACACCACCCGCTTTTCATCCTTGCCACACTTGTGGACTTCTGAGACGGATGTGCGCGGCGCACATCCGTCTCAGAAGCCACAACGATCCAAGAGGGGCGAGGGGGGGGGGGGCGAACGCCATGCAAGTAAACTTGCCTGAATCAAAAAAAATAGGCTCCATCCTCCTCCTCATCCTCCTCCTCTTTCTCCTCCCTCCACCGTCCGCCCCATGTCGAGGCCGGTGGGCCAGGCGGGCGCAAGAGCCACATTTTGAAATCCACCCTCCCCGATCCGTGAAACTGCTGGGCAACCTCCAGCCTCAGTGCCAAAAGCGGTGCGGAAGTCTCGGGCGAACCGGCCGCCCCTCTATGCTGGCACGTTGGTGGTGCAGCGAGGGGGGCTGATGTATGAGGAAGGGGAACGGTCGGGGGCCGACTTCTGGCCACCACCCCTGCCCGCGTACCTTGTGCCGGACCAGCTTGTTTGCGGAGGAGGTGTGCTAACGTCGTGTCCCTGGGGAATGCCGTTTTTGTACACAGCCCCCGTTCAGCGCTCTTGTGCTGGACCAGCTCGTTCGTGGGTTGCGTGCACACATCGCACCCCCAAACGGGGCAGGAGGAGGAGGCGGAGGAGGAGGCGGAGGAGGAGGATGAGGAGGAGTATTCACGCCACAAGCCCCTACGTCAGGTCCGTGCAACTTCAAAGAGGAGAGGAGGAGGACGAGGAGGAGGAGGAGGACGAAGAGGAGGCAGAGGATGAGCCCCCTTGGTTGGCGCGGGGTGGAAGAGAGCCTCGCCGCCGCCTCAGGTAGTGGCTGCCGCGGGCTTCTGCTTCGCGATCTCGTTCGTGGTCTGCACCGAGGCCGCCAAGAGGAGGACGGGAGGAGGAGGGAGGAGGGGGACGAGGGAGGAGGGGGACGAGGGAGGAGGAGGAGGAGGAGGAGGAGAATGGGAATAAGGAGGAGGAGGAGGAGGAGGAGGAGGAGGAGGAGGAGGAGGAGGAGGAGGAGAGGTAGGAACAGGAGGGGGAGAAGGACGAGGATACGTAGGAAGAGTTTGGAGGATGAAGATGCGAGACGCAGTTTCTTGTTTCCTCTTTTGCGCCCGTTGCTCACCTAGCAGTGCCTGCACCTCAGGATTCTCATGTCGATTCTACGGAACCTGGTGCCAGGTGGCGATGAAGTTTGGTTGCCAGCGGTTGCGCCCGAATCGCGACCGTGGGTTGCGGCCGTTGGGTGTGCCATGAGTGCCACTGGTTTTTCGCGGCCATGGTTTGCGCCATTTGTTGGAAACTGGAGCATATACATTACCAGTGCCGGGCTGTTGTTCAATCCAAAGAAGTTTTGAGGGTCGGGGACGACGTCGGGGTGGTGTGGTGTATACTTGTTTCCCCGCCTTCCCGTGGAAGCAACAACAAATGTATACACCAGGATGCCGTATACCCCAGAATCCGTTTTCTTGTGCGAATCTCAGTGAGGGACCGGATCAAAACATCGGTGTGTAAAGTTCGGTTCCTTAATTTGTGCTGCTGACTGCTCGTGGGCAAAGCTTGCGGCCATGAGCTGCAGCCTGGGTTGCCCCATCGATGCCGCAAGTCTCTCGCGACTGCGTGTTGCGGCCACGAGCTGCACCACGGGCGGTATTCCCAGTTTGCCGAGCGTTGTGGAGGACGATCAATGGAGAGGAAGCATGTTGCCAAATACTTTCCAGATGTCTGAAACATGTATTACACATGTTTTAAACATGTTTAGAGCATGTTTCCTACATGTTAAACACATTTACAAGTCAATGCTAGGACTGTTAGGGTGTCCATTGTCGTGGCATCCACAAGCCTAGCGACCTTTTGATCCGCGAGGTGGTTGTGCCACCCGTACAGTTTGTGGAGTGAACAAAGAATATGGCTATGAGTTGCAGCGCAGGTGTCGCAGTGTCTTGTGGCCATTTCATGCCCGTGGGTTAAGCCCTGGATTGCGCCACGTGCGCGCCGATAAAGCGCTCTGCTTTGCTTCGCATTGTCTCTGTGCGCATGTCTTTGCACTTTCTTGTTCTGATGTGATTTTCTGTGCATTGCTCCGCGCCTCGTTGGGTTGCTCTACGTTTCATCACATCGGTAGCACACATTCACTGGTTGGGGTCCACCTGGTACCTTTTTTCTGTTGCTGTTGCAGCTCTCGGACCCCCTGGCCAGGGAGCCCTCGAAATCATGGTCACAGCATGCCCCTGGGCGCCAGCGCGCTGTATTTCACTGCAGCATGTTCGGCTGTCGGGGGTGGATTTTCTGCCCTCCATCGGCATCACCCCAACATACTTATACTATATGTGCGTCGCCCCCCAGGGGGGCGACGCGTACACCGAGAAATATTATAGTATATGCGTCGTGGCGGGCGCTTTCTGGCCACACCGCTCGGGAAACGATATACCACAAGATGGGTATACTACGTTCGTTGCGGACGCGCGCCTCCAAGGAGGACATGTAGTACTAGTCTGTCTCTGTGCGTCCCACCTTCTGGGGGTGGATGTTCTGCCCTCCATGCCTCACCGACACCGGGCGCCCCCGCCGTCGCCCAACCTGGAACGCCCGCGCCGGGGCCGGCGCCGCGCCACCGCCGCGCGAGCCCGCGGTGGGCGGGGCGGGGAGGCCCTGGCCTCCTGCCTGGGCCTCTCTCCACGGGGAAGATCTCGGAGGGGGGCTCCACGCATGCAAAGCACGCCGTTTGGTGGGCCAAGGGGCCAAGGAGTTCGGCGAGCCTGTGCGCCGAGCTCCTGGGCCGACCAGACGGCTTGGTGTATACTTAGAGCCCCTTCGCAAGATCTGCCGCACCACATCTGCCGATACACGTGCCGCAGCGGGCGGCACGCGCGAGCCTGCCTGTGCGGGTGCAGGCCCAATTCTCCTCTGGCATGCGCGGGGGCCCTCCTCGAGACATATTTTTGCAGGTCGCCCTTCGGGCCACAAGTGCTGGAAGCGCAGCAGGAGAAGCATTTTGAGAGGGTCTCGTGCTGAGCTCGCCCTGAGGTCAATGCTGCGGGCTCCCCAAGAAGCCCCCCCCTAAACGGCTCCAAGACGGCCAACGAGACTGAGAGGGTGTGGAGTACAGGGTAGGTGGGAGAAGGAGCAGGAGTGGAGCGGATGGGTGTGGCCATGGAGGAGGGGGGTGGAAAATAATGAAGTTGACGGAGAGAAGGGAGAGGAGGAGGAGGAGGAGGAGGAGGAGGAGGAGGAGGAGGATGAGGAGGGGGAGGAGCACAGTGAACATACGGTGGATTAGGATAATGCTGATAAGGAGAAGGAGAAGGAGAAGGAGGATAAGGCGAAGGAGAAGGGGAAGGAGCAGGAGAAGGAGGCGGAGGAGGAAGAGGAGGAGGAGGACGAGGAGGAGGAGGAGCAAGAGCAGGAGTAGGAGAAGCAGGAAGGGAAGCACGAGGGGATGACGAAGACGATGGCGAGGAGGCAGATGAAGACGAGGAACGACGGACACGTGAGGGGGACCACCCTGGAAATCACGGTCGTAAGGCATGTCCAGCCCAAGAGCACCCGACTAACCTTGCAGGCCCTGTTGCTGATTTGCTGCTGACAACAAAGAACTTCTACGGGAACGGGGAGGAGCAGCAGCGGGAGCAGGGTGCCAGCAGAGAAGCGGAAGGCACCGAGGGGGCCGGGGGAAAGTTGGGACGCCACAGATCTCTAAACTCGGTGGCCACATGCGAACCATGCTTCCCCCCTCCACCCCCGACGATTTTTGAGGGGGGGAGTATGGAGGTTCACTTCGCTCCGGTGGGTGGGCTAAAAGTGTCCACACGTGTCTCGCCAAGACCTTGAGTCATTAAAGGACGTCGGACCAACATGCATACCCCCGTTCCCATAGATTCAAAGTTCACGGGCTTAGGCGGCAGGCCAAAGGCCAGAGACAAAATGTGGACACTTCAACTTTGGGTTGGGGGGGAGGGGTGCGAAGCACGGGCATTTCGGAGTTGTGGTTGCATCGCCTTGCCGCCATGGGTGTGGACACTTTTTGTCCGGGCACCGTCTGGGTGAGAAGAGTATCGTTGTTTCAATGATGCGGGCTTGCTTGTGGAACTGGTACAACTGGATAGAATTGGTTATAGAACTGGTCCATTTGAAATGGGGTCCGGCATAGAGTTGGTCGACATTCTAAAAAGAAAGAATTCATATATTTACAATTTGAAATATGTGAGACGACCAGTTCTATGCCTGACCCTATTTGAAATGGACCAGTTCTGTGACCAGTCCAAGGACCAGTTCTTTCCAGTTGTACCAGTTGTACCAGCTCCACGCACTTCTCCACGCAAAGGGAAGCCGCGGGGCTGCCAGGGCACGCCGTTGTTTGTTTTTGTTGTTTGGGCTCCGCGCTTCGTTCGATTTGCTAAGCCTTGCTTTGCGTTGCATGTCGGCGGTTCGCATTGCAGTGTGTTGAGTGCGCAGCATCGCCACCATCATCGCCATCCAGGAACGATCGCCAGGCAAATTGCCTTGACCAGGGAAGCGTAGAAGCATGTAGCGGAACTGTCCGCCGAGGTGGCTCGTCCAGGGTTGACAGGTTTGACTACCTTGACAGTGTTGATTACCACGGTGCGTGGACTAAAAGTGTCCACGTGTCTCGCCAAGACCTTGAGTCATTAAAGTGGGACAAAATGTGGACACTTCAACTTTGGGTTTGGGGGGGAGGGCTGCGAAGCACGGGCATTCCGGAGTTGTTGTTGTTATCATGTTGCATCGCCTTGCCGCCATGGGTGTGGACACTTTTTGTCGGGGCACCGTCTGGGTAAGAAGAGTATCGTTGTTTCATTGATGCGGGCTTGCTTCGTTGCGGAACTGGTACAAACGGATAGACTTGGTCATAGAACTGGCCCTTTAGAAATAGGGTCCGGTATAGAACTGGTCGACATTCTAAAAAGAAAGAATTCATACATTTACAATTTGAAATATGTGAGACGACCAGTTCTATGCCTGACCCTATTTGAAATGGACCAGTTCTGTGACCAGTCCAAGGACCAGTTCTTTCCAGTTGTACCAGTTGTACCAGCTCCACGCACTTCTCCACGCAAAGGGAAGCCGCGGGGCTGCCAGGGCACGCCGTTGTTTGTTTTTGTTGTTTGGGCTCCGCGCTTCGTTCGATTTGCTAAGCCTTGCTTTGCGTTGCATGTCGGCGGTTCGCATTGCAGTGTGTTGAGTGCGCAGCATCGCCACCATCATCGCCATCCAGGAACGATCGCCAGGCAAAATGCCTTGACCAGGGAAGCGTACAAGCATGTAGCGGAACTGTCCGCCGAGGTGGCTTGTCCAGGGTTGACAGGTTTGACTACCTTGACAGTGATGATTACCACGGTGCGTGGACTAAAAGTGTCCACACGTGTCTCGCCAAGACCTTGAGTCATTAAAGTGGGACAAAATGTGGACACTTCAACTTTGGGTTTGGGGGGGAGGGCTGCGAAGCACGGGCATTTCGGAGTTGTTGTTGTTATCATGTTGCATCGCCTTGCCGCCATGGGTGTGGACACTTTTTGTCGGGGCACCGTCGGGAGCTCCCGGGCGGAGTGACCCCCCACCTAGAGGGGGGCGCGGGTAGGGTTCACATGTGGCCACCTATCAGCACATCTTCCCCCGTCTATCTCGGAATCTAGGTTTCCTTACACTTGCATGAATACGTTCAGTGGGCTCGGTCTTTGATCTGGAACTTGGTTTTGCTTACTCAGCCTGATGGGTTTGTGCGCAGTCATCAGAGGAGGAGGAGGAAGAGGAGGAGGATGTGGAGGAGGAGGAGGAGGAAGAGGAGGAGGAGGACGAGGAGGAGGAGGGGAGAGGGAGGAGGAGGAGGAGGAGGAGGAGGAGGAGGAGGAGGA